ACTAGTTGTTTAATAACACAAAAGTTTAAACCTTTGATTTTAACTTGAAATTAAGATTTTTAAATTAGTGAGTACCAACTTGATTAAACTTTTATTAGTCTCTCTCTTTCCTCTGCAATGATATATGTTTATTTTTATCTGTTAGTTATGGTGTTTATGCTATATTATCAACTACTATTAGTTTATTATTAAAAACTAATAAATATTTTTTAAAATATTTTTTAACTGTTTAAATTGACACAAATTCTTTTTTTTTTTTTTGGTTAAAATTTGATTTAACCCCCTTAAAAAATATTTTCTTGCTTCGCAATTACTTTAGATCAATTAACTAAAACTCTAAATGTAACAGATTTTTTCAACCGTTGATGAAGGTTTGAATTTGACCAACCCTCTCCATCCCTTAATCCTTAAGGTAAACTGCTTACTCACTCAGTACCATCAAAAAGTGTGGCCAAGTAATTTAGAACGTGCCAACCTTCTCTTTAGACTTTTCATGTTTAATTATTTGTCTAATTCTAGTTAATTATTTTCTTAGCCCTTGTACAAATGCTTAAACCTCAGTTATTAATTAATAGAGAGTATTTTTTCACTGAAGTGTCAAACATATAAAATTGTCTACCACGAGAGTGGTTGATCGATTGATAAAGTTTGAATGCTTTGATGGTTGATTTTTCCTTTTTAGTACGTGAGACGATATGCTATAAAACAGTAGATAGTTTTTTTCTTTATTTAATTTATCTTTATTTATTTCAAGATTTAAATTTAATATTTTTAATTTAAAATATTAAATTCTTACCTACTTAAAATACCTCATTAAAAGTAGAATTAATATCATTTTATATATTTTACTTAGAACTCTCAAATCTACTCTTTAAATAAGGATAAAGATATATTCGTCTCTAAAAAAAATATAAAGATAAATTATTATTTTAAATTATAAATTAAGATAAATTACTATTTTTTAATGTGCAACATCAACTTTCCATTCAAAAATACTTACATGGCAAATAAAATTCTAACATTACAAATTAAAAAATAAATGATTTGTCTCAATTTATAATTTTAAAAAATAATTTATTTTTACATTTTTTTTTTTAAACAGATCTATACTATCCGTATTTAAGTGGTGGATTTGGAGTTTTGCATATATTTTAAATCCCAAGCATATTGCTAGAGCTTTGACTAACTGTTTTGTTGCTTTGGGACAACCAAATATATATCTGTGGAAACGAAAGACGTTTTGGAGAGGCGAGGACGAAGGAGAGAGGTGAAGGGCATTTTTAGCCGTCGTTTTTTGCATATATGCTCGTGAACTAGGATTTGCCTCTCGTGAACCCCACGTTTAATAAACCGTGAAGTGCAGTCTATTCTATATGTACTGTATTTTTTTTAATTATTGATGAAAAATTAAATTTATTCAAAATTCCCTCTTTCATTAGTAATTAGAAAACGTGTTTGTGCTGTTATGAGTAAAGTTGCAATTTTAAGACTTTTTTAAAGATTGTACTAACTCGTCTTGGAGTATTTCCTATGCTTCTTAGCAATCAAATTCATTTTCATTTGCTTATAAAATAAATAATTAGAAGAAGTATAATCCATACAAGATAAAACTCCATTGCAGTATTATCATATGGACACTGATTGGTACACACTTGGATTCCACACTCAGGTGTACACCCTCCACATAAAAAAAAAAAAAGTTGGACCAGGTGATGAGTTTTATTTTTTATTTTTTGTTTATATGGTATGTGCATACTCAGGTGTGGGATCCGAATGTACACACATCATTATCCTTATCATATACATATGTAATTTGACTATGATTTTGGGCTTCCTCTCTCCCTCTGTCATTAAAATGGCTGAGTTTCATTTCCTCCACCAGCTGTGTAGCATGAAAACGCCATGCCTCCATCAACCAAAACCACTTATCTTAATCTCCTGTGCATTTATAAAACATTGGTATATTGCGGCACCGGTTATGGCCGCCAAAGAGGTTAGTAAAGTCGCTAATATTTTACTTTTTATTTTGTAAAATTATTTTTATATTTATTTTAAAAAAGACAAAAGTATAAGGATAAAGCTAAAAAAATATGAATAAAAAAACCAATTTAACAAAATAAATAAAATATTAATGACCTTAACAATCTCTTTAATTAATGGCCATAACAATCCATGGTATTCTTTTTTAATTTTTAAAACTCGAGGGTAGAGTTAAGAATCAAATAATAAGAGTTTAATTGAATTTATTCTTTTTAATTAAACATTTTAAATCTAATATTAAAGTAAAAAATTTAAACCATTCTAATGCTAAACCATTAACTTCCAATTACCACAAAGAAATGAATGCATTAATCTTCTTTTATATTTAAATATCACTAAGTTTTCATGTTAGTTATTGCATATATATAGATGAATTTCTACCAAAATGTATATATATATATATAGATGCATTGTCTTTTTATGCTATTATATAATAGAACAATTATGCCTTAAGAATAAAGCAATATGGTTATATTTAGACAAATTTCAAATCTGCTTTTCTTTTCATAATGGAAAGGGCATTAATTAATTGTTTTATGAGTTAAAAAAAGGCACTTTTCGAGCACCAAATAATTTTCCATTGGCTCCTAAGCCTTTCCAAAAGTTGTTGGCCATTCTTAATCAACATTTTGAGAATATGAATGTAGCTAGGAACAAAATTAATTGTAACACACGTACCATTGTCTGCTTTAGAGATTTGAAAATGTTAAACTTTATGTATTAATTACAAAGTCTCTTTTATCACCGACAATTTTAGTTAGATCGATAATTTAACTATAATCTCAATTTTAATATTAAAGAGTTAAAAGTTCAAATATCAATAACAACTAAAAGTAATAATGAACTTTTGATGTTTACAAAAAAAAATTTTGGAATCTCTTTAACAAAATCCTTCTTTAAAAAAGGTGATTTCTTATTCCTCAATCCTCAGTTCCCCACAACGCCAATTGAAAAATAAAAAGAAATTAACCAACCAACAATGCACCAAAAAAGTGAAATTTCTTCTTGTTGGAGAGATGGCCACCATTGCTTTTCAAAACGCTTTTAAGAAAAGCGAAAAAGAGGAAGAAAAGATAAGGGGAAAAAATGATCACGGATCACTCTAGAAATTTGAAACCATGAGCATAGTCTTCACATTCAGGTTCATCACTTCATCTTCTTTGCTAGTAGTACTGACTGTTCTTGTGCATGTGAAGATTCAGTTGGGAACAGAGTTTGTTAATGCGCATGATTTCCTCAAGTTCCCTAAGACGACAAAAATGTGTTTTTGTCGCCACCATCACTTAGTTTGCATTCCAAGACCCTTCAACTCACGGTGACCCCTAGAAACTTCACGGATCAAAACTCAGCCTTCCATTTTCTTTTCTTTCTTTTCTCCGCACCACCAACAACAGTTTCCAGAGACACTTGCGCTATTCTTTCTTCCCAAAACTTGGCCTCTAAAGTTTTTCGCTTTTAGTTCATCAAAAAGGTAATTACTTGACATAACAGAAATTTAAATCTCTAACCTTGATTTTTTATCAAGGTTTTTTAGTTAGTAAGTATCTGGTTAGTCAAGCTCTAATCGATCCAAAACTTGGCCTCTAACGCAAGCATGTAATGTCCTCCTTCACCCACATTGCACCCACCATATGGGCCAAACAAAATTCTAATATTTCAGGGGGGCAAAAAAATCACTTTCATTTTATACCAAGTAAAAAAATATGTAATGAGAAGCATTCTCATATAGTTATACTCTACTTACAATAACTATACCGGAATAATTGAGCTTTGATGTAGTTTCCTATCACAACCATAATTTCCCATAAAAAATTAACTTGTATACCTCCGACCTCTTCTACTACATACCATATCGCATGATTGTTTCTGATTTTTTGTGAACAAGGAGCTTAGAGCTCGGTGTGATCAATATGATCATCATTCCTGGTTGGTTCAGCAAGTTCAGCAATTTCTCTATGATCGGTAACAACATAGTCCTTGTCTTGGGATTTTAAGCAATCTGCTGAAGGGTGCACTATGCCATACCCGGAGCCTCGAGCAGAATTGCAGTATGTCTCTACTGTGCCATCCTTCCTCTCTAAGTTGATATTGCTCAGGACTATGTTGCTGCATGGGACAGTGTCGCTGCAGGCAAACGTCATTGCTTTCTGGCTTCTTGTTGTCCCACTAATGTTCCGGTACATGATCTGGCTTATTTGTACTGCAGAAGTCTAAAACATAAATAGGGAGAATAAGATAAGAACACATAATAGCAGCACTTATGCGAGATTACAAAATGGAACCTGGATTATGTACCTCGTTTGGACAGACTGTTGAGGAATCACAGTAAAATTGATCAATAATGATGGGATTTACAACATCTTCCATCATCACATTTTCAAAACGCACACCACGAACATAACCAGAGCCCCCCTGTGCCAGGGAATTAACAATGGAACAGATCATTCTCAAAGAAAACTCCAGGGTTTTTATGTGCTTGTAATTAGGATGTGGAGAAACTGAAAGTTACTGTGGTGCACCATCCAAATAAATGTTTCTTTCCTCTCATAAAAGAAAGATTCTAATCTTGTTCAGAAACAGATTGTGAATGTTAGCAGTATCATGGTATTTTCCAGATATGGCTGACAACTGTAGCCCCATCTGGTCCTTTACCTTTCTCCCTTCTTTTTCCTTCTATGAAAGTTGCTAAAAGTGCATTGTTCTCAGCAAAGTGTGCTGGATTTGCATCATTTACCTACCATGTTAGGTGAGTATTACCTGCCAAGTCTTAATCCTGACACCATTTGTAGTTTCCCTTAAAAGTGCTGTATCCAAGACCACCCTGGTCACTATGCCCGTGGAGTTGTCCTTCCCAAGGCTCCCAATGCTGAATAGAAAATGTCCACAGTAAAATAAATAAATGAATAACAGCATTACATATTCACTTTGCAGAATATGAGATGGAACAGTGATCAAGATGTGCCTAGCGTATTTTTTTTGAGTTGGTCACAAAACCAACAAGTTGTTGTGTTAATTTATTGTTTCCTACTGGAACATGCCTGATTCCGTGTCCTGGGCCACAATATATTCTCTTCATTTTGATAGCAGATGAAGCGTTAACTATTGAGATACAATCATCTCCTGAAATCACAAGCATAATCACCGCAAAACATACCGTAAGAATGCAGCCTTATGATATCCATGGGCACTACATGGAATAATTAATTAAAGGTATGGTTTTTTTTATTATTATTATTTTTTTTTTTTTTTTGGGGGTGGTGGCAAAAGGGAATGGTTCACTAAAAGTGTATTCTGTCAGCTGTATTTTGGATGTGCTCAGATGCAGAATTGATACAAGGGCAAAGAACAAAGTTTAAAGTACCTGTTCCAATTTTGCAATCTTGGAGAACAACATTTGTTGACTCACTTATGTGGATCCCATCAGTGTTAGGACTGTCTGCTGGAGCTGAGACTTGTACTTGTGAAACCCGCACAAAGTCACACCGAGAAATTACAAAATGCATCTGTTGGCTGTTCTGGATGGTTAGGCCATTCACCCCTACAGCAGAGCTTGAATCTATAGTCAGTGCCTGCAACACACTCATATATTTACCTCACTTGGCATAAGTTTGTTTGATCAAAAAGAAGAAAAATGGTACTTTCTGATTCACAAGATTTTATGTTTTTTTTTGGAATATGATTCATAAAATTATAGGAAAAGATCCTTACGGATGGTGCTTCCCTGCAAGGCTGCCAAACAAAAGCAAACAGAAAAAGAAACATATGTTAAATTTCCTTTTTCTGCCTTGTACTCTGAGCGTGAAAGAATTTGTAGCGACTTCAAAGAACTTACATTTGTCTTGTTCTTTTTGCAAGAGGATGCCCACCACTTACTGCCAGAACCATCAATAACTCCATTTCCCTGGAAAATGACTCCTTTCAGCTTAGAAAAATCAAGCCAGAGTTGCGGAAGATTTGGGTCCCAATTCTTGGGTTCATCTGGTGCTATTATTGTCCCATCAATCTGATAATAATAAACTTGAAATGATCATAAGCAAACATCAACAAGCACTACAAATACAGTCATGATGTATAAGTGCTAGCGTACACAATGATGACAATTTACAACAGAGATTATCTACACCTAATTTTACCTGAATTATTATCCTATCTGCACATGGCCCCTTAAAACTTGTTGCATTAACCAGATAACGACGTCCTGGAGGAACTAAGAAAACTGATTTTGGCGTGGAGCATGCTGTATCCCATGCTTTTCTGAAAGCCTGATAAAAGAACATTGCAGAAGAACAAAGATAAATTTACTGAATGAGAAAAGAGGGAAGATCTATGGATGGATTGACTGGTAAATTAGTAATACAAGTTCAAAAATTGCCTAATAACTAATTGGGTCAACTTCATAAGTATGACATCCAATATTAGAACAACCTCTCTGTTAACCCATAAGAACAGTCATGTAACAACACAACTACCATCAAATTTGGTAGATCTCGTCACTTAAATAGTTTCAACAGAATTATTTAATGCTGTCTTATACTTTGATTCTTCAGGTGCTCCTTCTATTACAGAATTTTTTTCTTTTGTAAAAAATTCATGCACCAGGGTGTAGAAAGAAAATAAGAAAAACAGAAGTAAGCACCTGTGTGTCATCAGACTCTCCATCACCAGTTGCACCATAGCTATCCACATTTACAAGAACCTTGCCACCTGATTCACTTGTCCACGATGGGATCTCAAAATTTTCCACTTCATTTTCTTCTGCTATGTCCAGCTCTTCAAGCTCTCCAAGAATGAAAATTTTATCATCCAGCATGTTTCCTGCTACTCTAGATGCTGTTGTCAGCAAAACAAGGAATAAAACCATGAACAGTTCATCCATTTTTTTGTCTTTTCTGGTTTTTTTTTTTTTTTTAATAAGCCTATTGCCTTTTCTGGTTCTTTTGCAAGATCTATTGATTTGAATAAATCCAATGAAGACAATGGGTTCATTTATATGTGCAGATTTGTGCCTATATATCTTGACTTAAAAGTAGATGAATGTGTTGCATTTTCTACATGCCCACACTTGAAGTACAAGGGAAAAAAATTTTTAGTTCTTCGCTTTACTCTTCAAACCATACACAAATGTTCACTAATCAACAATAATTCAAGGATTCTTCTTAGGCTTCTCTCTAGAACAAGTGGTTAGAGGAAAAAGTAAAGCCAAGTTTTTCACAACTAACAAAAAAAAAATATATAAATAATATCAATTTCAATTTTCTACAATGAAGCATGTTGTACACATAAAATCTGCAGCATGAAATCTTGTAATAAATCCTTTTCAAAAAGGAATTGATTAATTGGACCAAAGAGGATAATGGAAAAAAAAAAAAAAAAAAAAAAAAAAAAAAACCCCTTTT